TCAGGAATGTTCGAGCAGCTTCTTAGTTTCCACTCTCACTAATATATGTATACCTGCGCATGCGTTTCCATTTATTGTTGTAAAATTCTATTAACGTGTCACAAGCATCCATTTGTCTTTTATAAACCTTCTTAATTCGAATTTCGTTGATTTAACTCGCATGATGGCTGGGACCTATGACAATGAGGAACAGAGAATCATCGATCGAGTAAAATGTATTGCTTTTCACGAGGCTCGTGACGGGGTGCACTATTCATAATCCGACAATGGGTTGCCGAAAAGGTTCACCGCTTGATGCGATTTGTTGTTCAATGGTGTGAAAAGTCCTATGATGAATGTTTTGCAGATTACTGAGCATGTGGTTGTAACCTCAAGTTATCGCAAGAGTCAAAACATTATTCTCAATATAAGCGATAAACAATGAAAAAGTTCCTCCACCGTAGTAAAAGAAATCGCCGAGAGACCGAAGGAATATGTTCATCGAAGCACAATCGATAATTATCGACACAAAGTATGATTGAAGCCTTTTCATGTTATTCAAAAGCCTCTGAAAACGGAAGCTCACATATGAGATTGTTTATGAGTTTGCAATTGGTTAAAAGAGTCGACTCTACAGGACTTTTTGCATCTTGCACCGGCTGATAAGTTTTTCGTTTGGTCAGTACGCGAGCCAAATCATCAAAACGATAGAGTTTGGGCCAGATGTGTCGAAGATATTGCAAAGAATCAAAGATACCGTGAGATGATAAAAAATCAAGCATGCATTGGCGTTTTCATCATTTTTATCGCCAAAAAATTACATTGAATAGTGAAAGATAAAGGTGAATCCTGGGTCTGTCAATATTTTGGCGAGAGAGTTTTAGTTCAACACGTGTCTTCTCTCTTGAAAAATGAAGAGAACGTGATTGACGTAGATGAAGTCATATTTGCTTATGATAAAGCACTGTGTATGAAAGCAAATATGACTCGACAATTGATACAAGACAACAATATCAATTTTTGAAGTAACAATATTTGGACCGGAAATTCACATGATCTGAATGTAGCTGAAGACATTGGAACAATAATCAAAGATGAAATTGAGAAAAGAATGTTGTTAGAGATCGGAAGTAATCGGTATAGTGAAGAAACATTGAAAAATTATATCATCGATGTCTTGCAAAACATGGAAACAGACACAGAACTTTTTGAAAACCTTTTATGTTCATATCCATCAAGACTACGTGCTGTGAAGAAAGTTACCGGCAGTCACACAGATTATTGCTTATGCTAATGAATTTCAGGAAGAATAAACATTAAACTAATAAATCTATCTGTTTAAAGTCAAATATATTTCAAATAATATTTTCTGAAAAAAGTTTTCTTAGTCGTGTTTTCTGCCCTATTCTAAAATTTTCAGTAAACGTATAGTCAATGACTATCGGTCACATTACCAACTATATCTGTTAACTCCATTTTCACGAGCTGTCATTTGGTATAAAATTCAATATTGATTTCATTTGCCATTGGAGCTGTACTGCCGGGGCAAAACATTTTTCGCAACCCTGTAGAGTTGCCGAGTTGCCACGCTCGTTATTTCCAATGATAGTGTATGGTTAGTGTTTAGAATGGCCGTAGTATGCCGTATACTGTAAAAATAGGAATTCTCGAAAATCGAAAAAAGAGGTTCCGAACCTTTGGTAACCTTCTTCCCTTGATTTCCGAGGATACCTTTTTGTAAGGGTGTAAAGCATTGGTACAACCTATGCTAACGACCACCGTGAACAGCTGAGATATACGATGTGTTACAATCTTTTTGGACCAATGCATAGAGTGCTCGTATGGCTACGGTAATAGTTTACAATGGATCTTTACGGACAATGTATAGGATTACCGTAAAATGCTGTAAATCATCGTACACTGCTGTTGAAAATGGCTAACGTAAATACTCGCCGTTACTAGCTGTATCTTATTCGTGAACGGCCCAGCATGTTTGATCTGAGGCAACATGTTTGAGACTCAATGATTTGTATAGTTTTGCTCATAATGACTGAATTGTACATATAAACACGCCTTTTGTTTTCTTTGATTATGAAATATCATTTCAGATAGTGCTCAGCAAAAATAGATGGAAACATAATATGGCATGTCGTGTTACTAGAAAACCAAATCAATTATTTAAGCATTAAAAATTCATTTTCCGTTTTTTTTTGACTTTGGGAAACAGAATTCCGACATTTTTACGATATTGAGAAAAAATTTTCCAAATTTTGAATTTTCATTTTGGCGACCATGGCCAACTCTTACACATTGCGACATACATCCTTTTCTAGGTTAATTTTTCTTATTCAATTAGTGTCACACATTCAAGCAGCGCAATATCAGTCTTCGTCCTGTTACAATTGGCCCAGCTTGTATTTTCAAACCAATGTCATTCGTACTACCTGGCGTTACATTGATGGGCCATAATCGACTAATGCCTTGTTCGGTGGTTCTGCCCGATAATCGATTAGCGGCGAATACTGATTGGTCTGGATTACCCACAAAACGAGTCATTGTCTACCATGGTTTCGAGCCTCCACAACTTATTCTTGCACAGCGTCGATCCTCCTTGGGTGCATACGATGTTGTTGTTGGTCGATTCCACGACGATATAGTTATTATCTATTTCGGCGACAACGGATGGTCGGGCTGGCAATCGGCAATCGACTTGCGGCGACCGTTTCGACCATATGACATTTGGACGAAACTATTCTTCACTTCTTTTTTGTGCAAATCAGAAGTAAATCGTGTGCTCATTCTCGGTCTCGGTGGCGGTATTATGCCTATGCTCATTCGGCATTATTTTCCGTCAGTCACTATTGACGTGGTCGAAATTGACAAAACAGTTATTGAACTTACTGCAGACTATTTTGGTCTTGCCCAACAAATGACAGAGAGTCATTTAAATGTTTGTTTTCTCTTCCTATTATTGTTCATTATTAATTGAATTTTCTGTTTTTCTTTTGTATGTGTAGATAATCGTAGACGACGCTTTTCAATATGTGAGCAAAACAATCCATAAATATGATGTAGTCTTCGCAGATGCATTTTTGGGAGATACAATGCCGGCTGAATTAAATACAAAAGAATTCTTTGCTAACATACTTAGTATTCTGAGTGACCACGGTTGTTTGGCGACAAATGCTAATCTACCCAAAACCGACGCTTTTTGTCGTCTGACAAAAGTACTTTCTTCGACATTTGAAATCAATATCCTACTAGCTCACCGTAAAATCCTCGAAAACGCAAGAGTCATTATTTCTGGCAGTCGGCAAACTTTGGCATCAATCGCTTCGCAAGAACAAGCCATCCAAAAAGCTACGAGACTTGAATCGAATGCACATCTTGAGTTTAGTCTGGCTCAATTACTCTCACTCGCATATCGAGGTCCACTCGACCAAAATACATTTTTCAAATGACACGTACAAAAATGACATCTTGTTCAAGTTTTATTAACTGTGAAATTGGGCTGTTGAAGGCTAATAGTTTATATCACTTGGAAAAGCCTAGTAAATGAAATCGAAACAGATTGATCCATATCTCTGTGATACAAATCAATATGCCTGTCTCAGCTCTTGTTTTCAGCAACCGATGAAGTTGTAGTTAGGTTTCAAAGTAAATAATGTGCTTAATCAAAGTATAAATAAAAGTATAGAATTTAATTTCGCCGATCTGTTTCGTATTGATTTTATTGAAATTATAAAATACTCATCAGCGCTCTGCATTATGATAGAAGGCACATATTTAAACAAATACTAAAAGTCTAACTGTAAATTTTAAGATACGCAAATTATAAGCTACAATGAAATCCGAATTGTAAACTACAATAGAATACAAATTTCTCAGACGAAACACTCGTCTAGGCTGCACACTATAATAAAAGTGCGTGCGATAACTGGTCCCGAAAGTTTGAGACATAAATTTAAGTAAAAATTACATAGAAGGTACAATTTTTTCGAAAAAAAACCAAATTAATCATGCAAAGTAAAATTATCAATGAATCAAGAAAAGTCAGAAATCATAAGCCCTGATAAACGTTAATAAACATTTGCAAGTTTATTGTCCTGGAATCCACGAAAGGTGCTACACAGACATTTACTCTGTGGACACTTGCTTCTCAGATTGATGGCTCCCTATCATTTACCCTTCCACAGTACTAATTAGAATCCTTGTGAGCTCCTAGCAGAAACGAATTTATCTATCGGAAATATAAATCTACTCAGAATTCACCGATTACAATTATAAATTAGCACATTTGTGCGGGTGCAGGTGTGTCCATGTTAAAGAAATAAAAGCTTTGAACCATTCAGGAGAGTAAAAGATGGGTGAAAAGACTAGTTAGTTTTACTATTCATGATGTATCGTCACTGATTAGTCTTTTTCTCAAAATGGCCTAGCCATGACTAGTCTAATATTATTGGCAGTCCGTGTATCGCGTCCTGACACTCGTCCAATATATTTAAAAATTGAAAAATATATGTGTGTATATCGATCATAATTATTGCAAAGACTGCATGCTACGCATTATATAACTACTAGTCATTCATAACGTCTGAAACAGGTTATTTTGTCGGTCAGATGTTGGTGTCCAGGCTAGTCTAACTTACAGAAGCAAAGTGGTGAAGGTTAAATTCGAACATACACACTTTATGTTACATACCTAGCTTGAAAAGCAGTTGATCCAGACAAGTTGATTCATCGATGACGCATCTAGCTTCTCCTTACACATCTTTTACAGATTAATGATCAGAGAAGTTCATAATATTATTTAACAAAACTTATTGATTCATATACTAATAGACTGTTTGATGATGCATGTCAACACAAATCAAAAGTTCCAATTTCTAGTTATACGAAGCACTATCTCAGAAAATTTGATCAAGAAAATTAGATTTGAGATTTTTTTTAAGAAATAATTTATTTTTATTAAAAATAAAAACGATTTTCATCTGTAAACTATTTTCTTTTATGTTCGTAAATTATAACAAAGTAAAACGATTATCAGGTTCACATGTACAAGTATTTGTTTTTTCAAGGTAAATTACCGATGCTTCAGATGGAAAATGTTGGATGGCTTTAATCGAAAAACCTGTTAGCTCAATTCCTTGCAAGATTCAAAAAATTGAACACATCCATCCCCTCGAAAATTTTTTTTTCATGCAGACACAATAAGAGTTATGTCATTGGATAGACCGTGAAAAACTGAGTATGGATCAAACATTTACTCAGCGAAGTATGGCCAAACCCCCAGCAAAAGTTTTTAAAATACTGTTTTCCAGCATATATTGGATGAATTAATCATTTTCTTTAAAACGTTAGCTACATGGTTTTTTTGGGGTGTGGGTGTGGGTGTGGGTGTGGGTGTGGGTGGGGTGTGGGTGT